TGCCACAGTTGGGCAGAAAATTTACCAGCCATGGTCGGGCGGGCAGGCAGTTACTTATTGTACACTGTTGATATTTCTAATTTAAGATATAGGTACGGTTTGTTAAAAAAATATACAAAGTGATAGCCGCTAGTGTTTTACCATACTCAATAACAAGTGGTGGTAAATTACAGATATGTTATATTTAGAAATGAGCCATGTAAGCTCAGAAACCAAAGTCACATGCAATAAGTTGACTTCTTTTTTTTCACCTACTCCTGTTTGACATAACTATGTTGAAGACATGGCCACAAGAGAAGAGCATTTGGTTTGTCACACAGGTGGGCACTGATTGAAGCTTATTATCCATTGTATCACCTGAAACTTGGGGGACTCACTGGAACAAAAAGCTGTGATGCAATACATATCATGTTGTGCCACAATATATTATGAGTTGTAACAGTATCATGAGGATGTATGTGGTTTTCTGCATTCCACGTTGTCTTAAACCACTCCCCTCTCACCCCCAGCTCATGGTGTACAACCTAATTGGAAAGCATAAAACCACAAGTACCCCTCGTGATACTGCTACAACTTATTTGTCATGCTGCACTTCATGTAAGTGCGATTTTGACGGTGAGATTTCTATGACACCAGTGAATGAAATCGGCCTGTCCAACTATTGCGAGATCCCTTTAATAAAGGCACTTGTCCGGGACCTCAGATCCTTGAATTTTTCAATCTGTGTTACAGTTGTGTTAAAGATTAAATAAGGGGTCTATGAAATTAGGGGTCTGTAATGAAAAATGCTACTTATTATTTTTCATATTGGCCTATTGTTCCATAATATCTCAATTGTTCTGGGAGATATTTTGACGTTCTTTGTTTGATAGACGGGTATTATTTTGATTGTGACATTAAACTGTGTTTAGAAACTGCAACGGAACGGACCTTGTACTGCTTATGTAATCACTGCTGGAGGTTGACAGCAGGACTATTTCCTTGTGTGAGTGGGATCCTTGACAACAGGGAAATAATGATATGGCCTTGCCAACTATTCTGGATTGTTTATCACTGTGTACATATCAGGACAACATAGTACTGTTTTTTTGTGACCGTCAAATTAAAGCTTGAAGTATGTTCACCATGATTTAACAGTTGCCCTGTTTCAGTACCTGCCTCAATACAGTGTGGTTATTCTTGTCATGATAGGAAATATTAGTCCAGGCTGTTCCCCCATATTGTTAATGTTCTTGGTCAATGTGACAATGCAAGAGGCAGCAAAGAAAACAATAATATATCCTTGTGTTATGGGTTTTGGACACTTAAGAAACATTCATAGTTTTCTTGCTAATCACATGAACAACTGTAAAAGATCTCACTCACTTATAAAAGACAATTTATCTTAAAAACAAGCCATCATGAGAGTATTTACAATGACTGTGACGCCACACCCCTAGTTATAGCTCAAGTAATCCCAATAAACATGGCCGTCTGAAAAATGTATGATGTCTGAAAACACATCATCCGCTGATAATATTGTCAGGGCAAGTTGAGTTCTATACTGATGAGAAAAGTACATTTATTGTGGCTGCTATAGATTGGTCCATATTCTAGGATATTAAATGTTATCTAAAATGGCCAAGATTATTGAAATAAAATTAGAAATGTGTAATAACTTTCAGATACGCTCTATTGAAAATGAAAGACAGTTGTTACTTATTATAGATTGTCCCAATGTCATGTCTCTAAAAACGTCTCTGGCACTACTCAATATTAACAGGGATCTTTCTTCTGTATCAGGATAAATCAAACTGAGTATGTATGTAAAAGTAGATATTACATGAATATATAATCAATTTGTGTATGTGTTCATTGTAATTGAAGCAATCTGATTGGCTGAATAGGTCAATGCACAAATTTTTGTAAGAATCTACCAGTTTGCACATATTTTTTTTATTCCTCAATGAACCGGAAAAAGTACAGTCAATCCTTTAATAAGTAATCAAATAACGAATAGCTCTTATCCTTTTCAAAAGTGTAGTAGTTTGTATCAAGATGATGTTTTTTATGTTACATATTCTAAGAATGTGAACTGAATTGTTGAGTCAGTGCCAAGACTTATGAAGTTAGACCAGTTACAGTGACTTTGTAATACATCATTTAGACACCTGGGAACCTTTTCAAAGAGAGGTAGATGAAGTAATCTGTTTTTTTGTTCTTTTAAAATAATAAAAAAAGAGTCAGAAAATTATGTGGTGTGTCAATACCATTGACATAATTAGGCAAGTTACACACGTTCACTTCAGTCACTAGAATTATCTTGGTTTGTGGCCTGTGGCAGGTGATAGTTGGAGTTACTTCCCTTGTATGGGTCTTTGATGCATATGCACTCATTTCTCCAGATAGGCTGTGAAAATATAACACTTGTGTTGAATTTAAACAAATGTGATCCTGATATTTATGCAGAATTGTTATTTTAGTAGTGGTGCCAGTGATAAAATTATCTTATGCATAATTATATTTTTTATGGGCAGACCAATTTGGAATTTTGTTTTACTGAATTTTATAAAAAAAATACCTGCAATCTGGAGGGAAACAATAGCATAAAGAAATAAAATAAAATGTATTCCTCCACTATACCTATTGCCATATGTTTGTGTGTATAATACGTATGCACTTTTTTAGTATTTGCTAAAAGAGGGAGAGAGAGAGGGGGGGGTGGGGGGAGGGAGAGAGAGAAAGAAAGAGAGAGATATTCTCTATTTCCCCCAGAGTTCATTCCGAAGATTACAGTGAAAATATATTCAATTACACACGGTTATTACAATAAAAAAAAATGCATAATATATTTACAATTACAGTTTATCAAATTCAAATACCAAAACGAAGACGGATATCCACTAAAAGATATATATCAAAAGATGCTTTAGTTTGTACAGATAAGAGGTGAATTGTAGTATGATGGTTTCCCAGATGTGTTGATCCAGATTGTGAGTAAATGAGGTCGTATTTATACAATTGAGAAGCTTGATAAGTGTTAGAACCAACACCGAAACATCATTTCTAATTGTAATAAAGAAGTTGCTCATCCATAAATCTCATCCTTATTTGGTACTCCAACTTCTAAACGCCTCTCAAAGAAGTTGTGACAAGTTTCCTCTCGTAATAGTCTTAATATTCAATACATTAGTGTAAGAATGAAAAGGTTCTCAGAGGTCAACAGAAAGTAGACGCGCCAGATGTCAGCTATTGAGTGAGGCTCTATACACATGTACTATGGTAGATGTCAGCTGTTGAGCGAGGCTCTGTACAGATGTACTAGTTTTCCTTGTTTCGAGGATTTTATTTTAGAAAGATGTGAATATGTGACCCTTTTTCAACAAAGAAAATGGTTGTTGGAAGTGAATTGTCAAGAATATAATACTCCAGCACAAGCATGTAACTCAGTATTGGTTTATCTTTGTTCAAGTTGTAGTATCAGCCCCCTCATCCTGTTCCCCATTTCCAGCCCCACATTCTGGATGATAGTTCCTAGTTCTTGTCTCTTCCCCCCCCCCCCCCCCCCCCCAGCAAGGCTGCAGTCCTTATATGGGGACTTAACCTTGGCTAAATGCGAGGCATGGCAAGTTAAACTCAAGTCCCCAAATTCACTCCTTGGTAATCTTGGTAATCTGCCAGCTCATTTTCCCTTATTAATATCCATCTTCCAACTAGCAGATAATTTCACAAATTACACTGGCAATGTCACAATATAACACATTGCACTCATGACTATGTTGGCTGGGGGATCGGCACCTGACGATCACATTCCATTCAACATGTTCAACATTAAAATCTGATGAGGCATGGTATATTTACTGTCAGCCTTATTCCTTGTACCACATTCCATTCAACATGTTCAACATTAAAATCTGATGAGGCATGGTATATTTACTGTCAGCCTTATTCCTTGTACCACATTCCATTCAACATGTTCAACATTAAAATCTGATGAGGCATGGTATATTTACTGTCAGCCTTATTCCTTGTACCTCATTCCATTCAACATGTTCAACATTAAAATCTGATGAGGCATGGTATATTTACTGTCAGCCTTATTCCTTGTACCACATTCCATTCAACATGTTCAACATTAAAGTCTGATGAGGCATGGTATATTTCTGGTAGTCCACACACCTCCCACTGCTCTCCACTGAACATGCTTCACACCTGAGACACTGAACTTGCAAGGCTACATGTGCAGTCCTTACTACATTTCACATTCCATTCAACATGTTCCAACATTCCTGTTTTCACATTTTAATGTACATTTCTGCTTCACATTCCATTCCTACCCTGAGGAGTTGACTTGCACACCTGCCCAAAGTGCTGACGATTCACATTCCAACAAGCATATTCACTTCTTTGATAAATTCTTATCCTTACTAAGCATATTCACATTTGCCTCCCTTGTGATATTAAGTATATCTGTACAGTTTCTCTGTAGTGTGAGTGAGTGAGTGAGTGAGTGCGTGCGTGCGTGCGTGCGTGCGTGCGTGCGAAGGACTGGACTTAGGCTAACAATATCTGCCTGTGAACTACTACTTGGGGTGATGTGTGTCAAATATGGATTTGGGTGGAAGTAACAGTTGCCTTTCTGATCACAAAGAGTCAATATTTTATCAAACTGACAGGCCAATAATCCTGTCCGAAAATCCAGAACTGGAGGGCCAGATAAACTAGTGAAATTCAACATTTTGCAATTTCAAGTTATTTTCTGAAGACAATTTAAGCTTCAATTGACACTTAAATTGCAGTCTTGTTCTGGTCTTGCAGTCTTATCATACTGACAAGAGGATCCCTTGCATTGCCATAGTCTCTGATGTTAAAAACATTGCTAATTGTTCCTATTCTGTCTTCAAGAGGCAACTAACGGGATCAGGTGGTCAGGCTTGCTGACTTGGTTAATGCATGTCATCGATCCCAATTGCGCGGAACGATGCTCATCCACTGGTTCTAGCTATGTTTTTGTGTTACAGGACTCGTGAAGATTGCTGAGAGTCTCGGCCTGTCCTTCCTGGCACCTAGGAAGAAGATAACAGTCCTCCTCATCGGTAATCATAGCGCTGGCAAATCCTCCTTCATCAACTGGTAGGTCTTCGTCTTCTTACACTGCCAATGTCTGTTGACTGGACGTTTCATACCATTTGTCTGATGGCTACCCTTGCAATGCCTAACTTCAGATTGAACTCTTTTAGTCCCAGGGGGCACGTGTGGCCCAGTCGTCTAAGGTGCCGCGATTTGCTGTTGTGTCCCTTTAGGCACGCCAGAAACCTATGATTGTGGGTTTGAATCCCGGTTCGCCCCTATTATGTTTCTAGATGTGTGGGTTTCACCGAAGTGGTAAATGTCTGAGACCTGCATGACTTTGGGCATTCCTCCCACATTAAGCTGACACACTGCAATATAACTGGAATACTGTTAAAAGCGGCATACTCACTTTTAGTACCATGACCCATCACGTTTAATATATTGACAAGGTATGCAGGGATAGATATAGCCCCTGCCCACTAGCCCAAGCAAGTCTGTCCAGGGTTGGAATGGCCAGGGGGTCCATACTTTTCCCAATTGGAGAGTTTTAGTATTTCAAAGGTCTCCGTGGTCTAGTGGTAGAGTGTCTGCCCGAGGAAAGTCGTGGGTTGATCCCAATCCGCGTCATACCAAAAGATATTAATAGATGATACTTGTTGTTACCCTGTCTGGCACTCGGCATTAAGGGGCTTAAACAAGGACGGGTCGGCTCGGAGTCAGTATACTGTGTCTGAGTGGGGTATTCCTGTTAAACTGCGGCATGGTATCTCTGTGGGTTGGCACTATAAATCGGCATCAGTCCTGGTGAGTACAAGCAGCCACACACACGTGCATGCACGTCGCTATATAAGTGCCATAATGGGTCAGACTTCGTGACTTGGTTGATTGCGTGTCTTCGTACCCTGACTGCATGGATCGGTGATCAAGATATCGATCACTGGCTTGTCTGGTCTTTACTCGATTACTTACAAGCTGCTGTCATATAGATGGAATACTGCTGAGTGCAGCATTAAACAACAAACAGACACTCATATTTTTATGGATAACACACCCTGGTGTGACATCTTCATTGACTTATGTACAACCTCCAAGAACAGACATTGGCAGTTAGTTGGAATGGTAGAGTTAGTGTTTATAGGTTTCTGATTGTTGTGATGTTTACTGTGCAGTGTTTGAAATTGAGAATGGCAATAAATCAAACATGAAATTGCTACATCTGGGCAAGCTACAGTCAGCAACTAGTATGAGGGTTGCTACCACAACCAAGAACCTTAATCGCCCAACACAGGCCTGCCACAGCCGCATCCGCCTGCCCACCTTGGCAACCCTCCTACCTGTTTGCTTATTGCCAGCTTTAATTGTAAATAATTATTCAGGCCTTTTACCACTGGTCTGCCTGGCCCAGACTTGATTATTTACAGTTCACTGAGATTTGGTTGGGATGGTGTCCATTGGCATAAAATAATATTCACTCACTTAATAAAATTTGTTCAGATGTTTGAAATTTTGAATTGCCTCTTACTTTCTGACAGTTGTGTAATGCTGTATGCCTATTGAGCAATGTATTTATGAACAAATTTCTATATGTCCTGTGAATATAACAATTAGCAAGTCTTGTCACAAGTAGTCTTATGAAATATATACTTGCGTGCAACATAAAACTTTTTCTGAAGGTAATGAAATTGTATATCAGATATGACACTTACCTGTCGTAGAAACAAGTCCTTTTTTGTAAAGACCATTGAACATAGGACTCGTGGCTGGGTCCACTCCATCAATGAAAGCTAATGTGGATGACACATCTGCAGACATTCAACATTATCTTTGATCCCCATCAGATGTCCATTCTGTATAAGTGCGTCTTTTGTATGGTAGTCTTGTCCTTTTTTTTGTTGACATAATATGCCCCCCGATTCCCAAGATAGTAGGTTTCAGTATCTTGACTGAATAAGTGTCAAGCAAGCCACAGTGAAGCCAGTGAACTCTCAGGGTTAGTGCCAAGATGGTCACAGTGAAGCCAGTGAACTCTCAGGGTCAGTGCCAAGCAGGTCACAGTGAAGCAAGTGAACTCACAGGGTCAGTGCCAAGCAGGTCACAGTGAAGCAAGTGAACTCTCAGGGTCAGTGCCAAGCAGGTCACAGTGAAGCCAGTGAACTCTCAGGGTCAGTGCCAAGCAGGTCACAGTGAAGCAAGTGAACTCTCAGGGTCAGTGCCAAGCAGGTCACAGTGAAGCAAGTGAACTCTCAGGGTCAGTGCCAAGCAGGTCACAGTGAAGCAAGTGAACTCTCAGGGTCAGTGCCAAGCAGGTCACAGTGAAGCAAGTGAACTCTCAGGGTCAGTGCCAAGCAGGTCACAGTGAAGCAAGTGAACTCTCAGGGTCAGTGCCAAGCAGGTCACAGTGAAGCAAGTGAACTCACAGGGTCAGTGCCAAGCAGGTCACAGTGAAGCAAGTGAACTCACAGGAGAATGGCAGTTTTATAGCTTTGCTCTGGCTGATCGTCCCTGTCGTGTTGCTGTTGTTTTCGCTGTTGTGTTCTTGCTGTGTCCTTGCTGTGTCCTTTTGCACATGAATTTCAAATTTCAGCCCTGATTTTCATGATTTCTACCAAGCTAGATTTGGCAGCCCAGATTCTGCTATTCAGCCTTCTTGTCACAAGGAGACAGTCTGAAGTACAGCTGACTTGTTGTGTTATTACTGACATGTTCAAAGCAGAGACTAAACTCACTCACTTATTCCAAACATACCTATGATGCACAATGGAATGTTTGGACATTGAAAGTAGAGGGGTAACAGCTGATTGAACTGTCAATGTATTGCAGTTGTCCATGGTCTGACAGCACACGTTGCAAGTTAAAACACCAATGCCACCACCCTTTTTGAAGATTTGATGTGTTATATAGATATAAGTTTGCTAATAATTCATATATCAGGTGAATGCGTGATCATTTGCTTTTATAAAAAATAAACATATTCTGTGCATCAGGAGACATTCAAAACTTCCTGCAGAGCTCCACATGAGCTACATATTTGTATAAAATATGAAAAATAAATCACAGGTAACCAACTTATTTGGAGTTGCTTGCTTGCAAATATGCAATAACATCATTGCTTTGTTACCCAATGTAGCCTTTTCTACTTGCGAACCCATTTTTCTTTACGGAGCTACATTTGCTGATCAAATGCAGGCATCACAAATACCTGAGCTTGACAGGGAATAATGCAAAGACAAGACACTACGTCTGGGTCATCATGCTTATAGTTAATTAGACATGTATAGAACTGTTGTGAGTTTTTGTGACATGTTACACATTTGGGGCAGCATATGAACCAATCAGAAGTCACCTGGATCAAATGGCAACAGTGGTTGTTTACTTTAGTACAGAGAGTATTATTTTTACAAATTTGGATATTTTTTTTAAGATTGTAAGTTCTCATATTTCCACCCCTTAAAGGAAATAATGTTTGACCAATTTAGATATGTTATCAGTTAATGCTTTTCTTTGCTGATCAAAATATTCACATCTAAAGAGAAAATGGAACTCGTCGGCTATGGCTGGTGAGGAGCAAAGCTTACATGTGCAATATTCGCACGCAATGCCCTCCCAGCGGCCAGTCTGTCGGCAAATTGTTATTTATGGTTCTGAATTTTAAAATGGGAGTAAAGATTTCTGATGATAGGAAAAGATACTGTTCAAATTTGAAAATAATTTTGTAAATTCTATAATTGCAAGCTTTGGAACTTGTAGTTAAATAGGTATTCCAGTTTTGAACCAGCTGTGACTTACAGAATCGGGTTGATTAAAAACTACAGAAAGACCACACCTGTTTCATAATCTCTTAATGAACTCCATCCGGTTGTTTCTATTGTTTTTAGTTTTATTTATAGAATATATGTATTTCAATATTTGAGTTGATAATTGTATAACAGGTCGATTATTACTTATATGTTCGTACGAAAACAAAACGAAATCATTCTCTTATATATGATTATGCTTATTGGATATCTCCCCAATTCACCATACAACATATAATCTGGTATTGAGTTTCTATGATTGAAGGCAAGTTTAATGAATTTCAAATGTACTCTTTCCAATACTGAATGATGTTTGTGTCCCCAAGTTTCCCAACCATAGGTTAGCATAGGCAAGATTAGTACATCAAAGACTTTGAGAAGACTATCAATAGGTAAATTTAAATTCTGTGCTCTTTTTAATAAAAAGAATAACATGTCTTTTGTAGCCCTATCAGCGTGATTTTGGATTGCACATACAAAACGACGGCTTCGATGGAATAGAATACCAAGATAGACATAGCTATTTACAATTTCTAAATCAACAGTCAACATGAAACTTCAAATTCTGGGGTGTTTTGGTTCCTGATCCAAATATTACTATTTTAGTTTTGCAGGTGTTTACCTCTAATTTCCATTTTTTTGCAATTTTTGTGAAATGATTCATTGGACTTTTAAAGTTCAGGTGCGTTGTCAGCAAATAGGACTGTCGTCAGCGAACAGGATAATAAGGATTTGTAAAATTATATCAAAATGTTGTTCTGGTATGTCAAGCTTTATACCGTTACAGTTATCCACGGATAGGTAATTTTCCAAGAAAAGCGAGAATAGAAACACCCTTATTAAACCACTGATTATGCTCTGAAGGGTGTGACAATGTTAGGCAGTCATGAATCCCGTACTCGCCCGACTACCAACAAGGAGAACCAGTTGTTTTCTCCCCCAAATCTGTTTGTTGCTTGTACCACAAGTCAAAATTGTGTGCTGCAGACTTGTCACATTTGTCTCCTGGTGTCTTTGTCTGAGACACATTAGTAGAAGTCCGGGCAGAAGGGTTCCATGGCTACTTCAGCATTTGACATCAGCATGTAAAAAGGGCAGCAGACGTGATTGGCTCGGTCCCCAATGCTCCATTGCCTACAGCTATGTGTCTGGTATATTGATGTAGATTAAATATTTATTTTGGTGTCTGGGTTATGATTAATGCATTGATGACAAGTTGTGAGGAAATATAATTCATGTTAACTGTTGTGATGAAAGTTAGAAAAA